AAGTGAGCTGGCTGTTGGTAGTCACCTACCCCTCAGGGACAACATCTACTTCTCACTACACAGCTTCAGATCCTGTTTCATGAACGAGGTTGGACTCAGTCAACTTGGGGCATCTCTGGCACATCCTTTATGCCCTGCTCTAAAGGGAACCGGGTCCACATGTCATATGCAAGAGGCTTGGTCTTTCACTTGGCACAGGACTGCTCATCTGACCTCAGGACTCACCTGTATCCCTGGAACACTTCTTCATGTGTGTTTGTGGTGTACGTATGTGTATATGTGTGTGGCGATATGAGCAGGTGCCCATGCACACGGAGGCCTGAGGTTGACTTCGGGGATTTTAGGGGATTGCTTTCCATCTTATATATTCTCTTGCTTGAAGTCAGAGCTTGCTGACTCATTTAGTCCATCAAGCCAGCTTGCTTTGGGGATCCTCTCTGTCCCCAACAACTCCCCAACTTTCCCATGTTGGGATTACAGGTGGGCCACTACACCTACCCAGCATTTACATGGGTGGGAGGGATCCGAACTCTGGGTCCTTACACTTGAGTGGCAAAAGCTTTACACACTGAACCACCTCCCCAGGTTCCAGGGGAAGATTTCTGACTCTTTGTTTATTTCCATGCAATACTGGATCACTCTGCTGCACGCACTTTCCTCCTGCCTTGCCTAGGAGGAAAGTGTGCCTTTGAAATATTAAGGCACACCAAAATCTGCATACTGCACAGTGCCTTGGAATATAAATTTTAAGTGTGATTTTCCTTCCTTGCCTAGCTGGTTCATGAGGGCAGGGTTGTGTTTGCCCTGTTTATGATGACAACCCTCACACCTTGGAAACATGAAGAACAGTGGGCATGCACATATCCTCCACAGGTGCTCACTGAATGGCACACAGATGGTCACCAGCCCAGGAGGGTGCACAGCAGATGTGTGTGTCTGTGTTACCAAATCTGCCCTGTCCTCTGCTCCTTTCATTTTCACCGTGAGTGAGATGATGACATGCACCCAACCACAGGGATGGCATGCACCATCCCTGACTCCTGTGGCTCCTCCAGAAAACCTCCAGCCTTCTTTTTTCTGTCACTCCTCAGCAGTAAGTCCCAACCAGGAAGACTCATATTCCCTGCCCCTCCTACTACCTTCCTGGTCTTCCACCCTTGTAGTCTCCTGAGACATCCTCATGTGACACAGACCTTGATACAATGACGAGAATACAGGGCCAGATTGTGTCATGCATGGGGGCTCTCACCAAGGAATTGTTACCAAGCTACACTGCCAATAGGCTGGGGCCAGCTGGAGGAGGTGCCTTTCCTGCGCTTGTGCCGTTTGAAAGCAGCAGCCCTTTCTCCAGGTCTGTTTCAGCCTTCCGTCACCCCCCACTTAGCTTCTTGCTGCTACACCTGGCAGAATTCCTCTCATTCTTCTGTCCTCTGGTGTTCTCCATCTTGATTTTATTTCTCCTCATTCATTTGTATACTGTGAGGCTAGAAGCGTTCATTTGAGAAAAGGGTATGTCAGTATGACTCTTTTGGACAGGCATTAAGCCGTGCTGCCCTTTCCTAAGGGCTAATGAATGGCTAAGCAGACAACTAAACAAGGGTTTCTACTTGGCACCAAGACAGGGTGCATGGTGGCAGTGGACACCTGCATTCATCTCTGGCAGTGTTCACTCACAGGTACAGTCTCTTCTGTGGCGGTGGACGCCTGCATTCACCTCTGGCAGTGTTCACTCACAGGTACAGTCTCTTCTGTGCTGTTTCATGACAAAGTGCTTAAGTGCAACACCCTGGAGTGCCCACATCCAGGCAAGCACACCTTTGTTCTCTCTGCTCTCCCCTCCCTTGCCTTCTACAGCATTTCCTTCATCTCCAGCCCATAGGAAAACCGTCAGCTGGCTCCGCCTCCCCCAAAGATGACGTGAGCTGTAAGCATCCCCAAGCAGCTCACTGGCTTTGGCTCTCCGACTCACTGGGGAGCGGGAATAGAAGTCATCCTTGTGCCATAGCCCTTCCCATCACCGAAGAGCACCTGCACTCCTGAAAGTCTTTGCCAAATCCTGCCTAGTCACACTGCTGATGCCACCTTGTACTGATGGCCTTGTCCTGTAGCTGTAGAAGGGTTGGCTATATGTTAGCTGTGCCTTTTAACTTTCCAATGTCTGGATGTGTGGGACCTTGCTCCTCCTGGAGCACCCAGCCCAGCTCTGCCAAGGGCTAACTCATTCCTAGTAATAATAAGAGGTTTGGTTCCACGTTTTAAACACAAACTAACCAATCTAGAGGTCATACCTCAACCACATTCTACACCTAGATCAGCCTATTACCTAGCAACTACCCACCTGCTATGATCACCCCAGGACTGAGTAGCAGACAACTGGGGACGGCCCCCTGCCTCCACACTAGCTGACCCTGAATCTTTCTGCTATGCCTCATCTAGTTTCTCCTGAAGAAACTACAATAAAGAATCCTGAACACACTGTCCCCTCCCTGCTTTCTGGCACTTCCTCATCCGGCCCTCTGGGGTGGTGTGTGATCCGTCCTCTTCAGAACTGTGAGCAATAAACAGTTTTTCTTACTGACACCTGCAGATCTCCTGGCACCACTCTACCTGGTAAGTGTAAAATTTGCATCTGAGAACACTGGCTTCCTTCACTGCCTTCAGCACTGGGACCTCTCCAGCATCTGGCCTCATCCCATCATTTCCAGACTCCAATGGCAAGAGGGGACTCTGGACTCTACTCCTAAGCCCCTCCAATTCAAAGACTCAGCCCCAGTCACAGCATCCTCTCTTACCCTCATGAGCCACATTGGGTCCATTGACAAATCTCACTGGGGTCACTTCCAAAACACCTCTTCAATCAGACCTGCAGGTGAGTCTACTGTCCCCTTGTGTAGGCATTGCCTCACCCCACACAAACCAAAGCACAGTGGCTGCCTCTGCCCAAGGGACAGATCTTAGAGCATAGGTGTGCGGGGTAGACACAAGATAAAGTCATCTGAGAAGAGGGAACCTCAATTAAGAAAATGTCTCTATAAGATCGGGCTGGTCTGTAGGCAAGCTTGCCAGTAAGAAGCATTCCTCTGTGGCCTCTGCATCAGCTCCTGCCTCTATGTTCTTGCCCTGTTTGAGTTCCTGTCCTGACTTCCTTCAGTGATGAACAGTGATATGGAAATGTAAGGCAAATAAACCCTTTCCTCCCCAAATTGCTTTGGTCATGGTGTTTCATCACAGCAAAAGAAATCCTGACTAGGAAAGACATTGGTACTGGGATAGTGGAGTATTGCTGTGACAGACATGACCATGTGTTTTGGGGATGATTGTAGAAAAATTTTGGAACTTTGGGCCAGAAAAACTATTGAGTATTCAAAGTTTGGTGAGCTGTTGGGGCTTGGAAGATAAGACAATGGAGGCCGTGCTTGTGATTTTTCAGAGGGAAACAAAGACTTTAACAGGAAATTTGTATGAAGAATCTGGTGTCTGGTCAGCTGGAGCTGAAGAATCAGCTGGGATTAACAAGAGACCAGAGCCACTAAAGTAAAACTTTGCTTTGCTGGGACAATTGATGCTGGTCAACTGGAGCTGAAGAATCAGCTACAATTAAGAAGAAACCAGTATTATTGAGATGAAATCTTCTGGAAAATGTTTGCTCAGGGCTGACACACAGAAACTGTGTTTCAGAGAGGCCAAGGCTGCCAAGGTTATACCTCATGCTGGTAGCTCAACTTAGCAATATAAGAGTCACCCAGTTTTGAAGGCATGAAGGGGTCATGAAAAGCAGCTTAGGCTTGACACTGTGAGAGGCTGGGATAGGCCATTGGAGAGGGTGCAGCCTCAGTAGCAGTTGAAGCTCCAGGACTGAAGGGTCATGGAGAAGTTGAGGTTTGGCACCATGAAGATAGCTTAGGAGAGGCTATTGGTGAAAATGCAGCCCAGTTGTTGTGGGATATCTTTCTGTACACTGTGAATATGTGTTGGACATAGGAAAACTTTTGACTACATTTGGCTGCCCAACGTGTTGACAAGAGTTTCCACCTAAAACCTGAGAGAACTTACTAAAACGGAGCTAAGAGCAGCTTCCTAGTTCGTATTTCTCATGGGGGCGTGGTATAAAGATGCTGCTGTACAGAAATGCTGTGGCTTTTGAGCTTGAGCACAACAACATGGTGGATTCCTGCCTCAGCACACAGAGGTGTCTTCAAGCCATGCAGCGTACTGTGTGGCAGATTTAGCTTTTGCTAGTACAGAAGAAAAAAAAAAGGTTTCTGGGCTACACACTGCTGGATCGAGGCATAGACCCACTGCTTCCCAGACTCAGTGATGAGCATGGATCCCAGGGCTGGAGGTAAAGGTACCTCTGCCATGTTGGGAAGCTGAGATGGGCAGAATCAGCACCCAAGGCTGCCGCTTCAATCCTAGCCATGCTGCAATTTAAAGCAATAGATTCACAATAAGGCAGATCTAGATGGAATAAACCTCTAAACGATTTACAGTGTGTGTAAAAATATATGTAGGCTTGGAAGAGAGAGGAAAAAAGAGGATAGACAGTTATATAAAAAAAAGACTGTCTTAAAAAATAAAGTCTTTAAAGAAACAGTAAAAGTAATATAAACCACGTAAAGATGAAAATCACACAGAAAGTCTGGATTATATTGTCTTTGGGATTTTTTTTTTAAAGATTTATTTATTATTACATATACAGTATTCTGTCTGCATGTATATCTGCAGGCCAGAAGAGAGTGACAGATCTCATTACAGATAGTTGTGAGCTACCATGTGGTTGCTGGGATTGAACTTGGGACCTCTGGAAGAGCAGTCAGTGCTCTTAACCACTGAGCTACCTCTTCAGCCCCTGTCTTTGGGATTTTTAACTGCAGAAAGACATTTGATTGTAAAGACTATTCAGTTGAACCAATATGTATATTTTTAAGGTATCTTGACTTCAAAATTTGTGTCTAAGGATATGTTGCTTTGAAAAACAGATTTTGCTTTTATTTCCACAGAAGATGACAACCTCTGGATTGCTTCCAGGCTAATATGTTTGACCAAGGAAGACCCCCTGAGAGGTCTCCAGATGTTCCAACATCCAGAACAGCTTCAAGGCAACTAGCTCAGACAATGCAACCTCACAGACTACTCTAGTCAGGACTTGGCCATAATCCTAAATTTTCTCAGGGTCACCATAAGATTAACAGTGCCCCCAATCAGCAGGAAGTAGCCTAGAACACTACACCCACATTCCCCCAAAACAGATTATGGATGTTTGTCTTTGTTTAGGTTGTTGGCTACAAATTGTTATTGGACATGGTCAATTTTTTTTTTCTAAAAGAAGAAAGGGGATATGATATAGAAATGTAGGATATAGATATGATAGGATGGAAGGGTAGATTATTGAATCTACTTCTAAAGAGCAACAACTTATTTGAAATGTTTTACATTTCTATGGATTTTAGTTTATTACAAATTTAAAGTTAATTTTGTTACACTGTATGTATTTCTACTCTCGTTTAAGGTATCAGGTTTGTACAGCTCATTTGAAATTGCAATATATAATTAAGAAATACAGATGAATAGTCATCTATGATAATCAAACTTTTAGTCATATTAGTTAAGTTTTTTAGGTATATAGATGTACATTTCAATTAGGTGGGTAATCTTCAAACACTTCCAGAATATGACATTTAAAATGTTTTAAAAACTTAGACTTTCTGGACAGTGAGATGCATCTGCTCCTGGCAGTACCAATTTACTTCCAAGAAGAAGATGGGCATTGAAGACATTCCATATGGAGTTTAGTTTCTTGGCACAAAATGGCCTGCTGGGCAAAGAACTGCTCTTGCCTGGACCATTTGATGATATGTTATATAGACTGGACATGCAAGACCCATGGAAAAAATGACCACTAAATTTTGCCAAAACAAGGCGAGATGGTCCTTCAGGTTCCTGCTTCACAGAGGAGACTGCGAAATATTCTATAGGATACAGGGAGAAGAAACTGAAAAAAACTCTAGGCCTATAGGCTAAAGATGGATGCCCCAATGTTACAGAGGAATTTTGGATGACTGTCTAGGCAGCCAGTTGTCTCTGTCATTTCCAGAATTTTGGAAGTTGATTACAAAGCATTTACTGTTTACTCAGGTAATATTATATCCTTCTGGGGTCTTTGATGTAGTTAAAGACTAGATAGTTATAATTTTCCTTGGTTATGATAAAAGATTAATTAGATATGAAACTTTAGACTCACAAATATAGGATAGATAGAATATTTTCTTTAATTTTGCCAAATACAAATAGACTAGATATTGTACCTGTAATTCCTGCTTGATAACTGTTCTATTATATGTAATTTTACTATGTTAAAGTTAAAACCTTTCTTTTTGATTAGACAGAAAAGTGGAAGTGCTGTGGGATGTCTTTCTGTATGCTATGAATATGTGTGGCTCCCATTGGATAATAAATAAAACTGTTTTGGCCTATGGCAAGGCAGCTTAGAGGCAGGCAGGAAATCCAAGGAGAGAGACAGGAAAGAGAAAGGCAGAGTCTAGGGAGAGACACCAGTCTGTCACCCAAAGAGCAACAAGATGCCAGCAGATTGGTAATGCCACAGCCATGTGGCAACATATAGATTAATAGAAATGGGTTGAGTTAAGTTATAAGAGCTAGCTAACAAGAAGCCTGACTCATCGGCCATTCAGTTTGTAAATAATATAAGCCTCTGTGTGTTTACTTGGGACCAAGGGGCTGAGGGACGCGGGTAGGAGAGATTTACCTGACTTCTGGCTACACCCAGTTGCAGCAGAAGACCCCAGCATTTTGGAAATGCCAGTACCATGAGATGACCAGGAAGAACAGCAAAGTGATGGAGTGAAGCTAGCTGGAGCCTATAAGATAAGTTGTGCATGCTGCAGAGGGCAGAGCCTGAGAAGTGATCCAAGCCCTCTGGAAGGGCCCAGAAGATTGTGAGTGGGTCCCAGACATTGGACATTGACTTATTTATGCAATTGGAGCTCAGTTTTACTTTGATTTGATTGTGGTTCTTCCCTCTATAAGTAAGAAAATTTAGCCAGGCTGTGGTGGCGCACACCTTTAATCCCAGCACTCAGGAGGCAGAAGCAGGTGGATCTGTGTGAGTTCAAGGCCAGCCTGGTCTACAGAGCTAGTTCCAGGACAGCCAGGGCTACACAAAGAAACCTTGTCTCAAAAACTAATAAACAAAAAACCCAAACAAACAAACAAAAAGATTAAACTTATTTTTTTATTTTATACTAGCTCACAGTTGGGAGACTTTCAATTGTAAGAGATTTCAGACTTTTTTTATTTAAGAGACTGAATTTTTAAAGTGTTTGAATTTGTAAGACTGGAACTTTTTAAGTTTGTAAAATGTTTTGTATTGTAATATTTATATTAATGTGTGATCTTGGAGATGAACAAGAAAGGGAAGATTGTGGCTTTACAGTGATGTGTTCGTGTGTAAAGTTGACAAGGGGTCAGTTGTGCTGGATAGTTGTTTGTCAATTTGACACAAGCTAAACTTGTCTGAGAGGAGGGAACCTCAATTAAGAAAATGCCTTTAGAAGATCAGGCTGTAGGCAAGCCCTGTAGGGTATTTTCTTCATTAGTAATTGATGGGGGAGGACCCAGCCCATTGTGGGTGGTACCATCCCTGGGCTGATGGTCCTAGATTCTATAAGGAAGCAGGCTGAGCAAGCCATAAGGAGCAAGCTAGTAAGCAGCATCCTTCCACAGCCTCTGCATCAGTCCCTGCCTCCAGGTTCCTTCCCTGCTTAAGTTCTTGCCCTCACTGCTTTTGATGATGAGCTGTCATATGAAACTGTGAGTGAAATAAACCGTTTCCTCCCCAAGTTGCTTTTGGTCATGGTGTTTCATCACAGCAATACAATCCTAACTAAGACAAGCCTCTTCCTGGCTTTTTATGGGGCCATGGTCTGTAGGCTACCTTTTATCTGCATTCGCCTTCTATATTTCCAGAGAATAATGACTTGTTTGTGTGCAGGTGCCATATCTAGAAGAGTAGCATGGGGTAGGTACTCAAATAATAGCCAATTTTCCTTTCAGATTATTCTGTGTTCTGTGGGTTTTGAGATGAAAACTCCTAAGTCTACAGTTTTGGGCCCTCACAATACCTTCCCCCAGGAATGTGTGAATTTTGTCTGTGAGCTCATCCTTGTCAAGAATTTTCTCCCATGTGAGCCTTGCGTGCTTCCTTAAGAGGCTTTGTTGACTCTAGAAGGTCAGTATCTCAGCCTTGGCAAGTGCCTAAAATTTGTGCATACATGCGCACACAAATGCATAGTACAGACTTCAAAGCTTTGATTTATTTTAAAGAGAATTTTTTTTCTGGCCACAGTTCAGGGAGTCAGCCAGCTGTGGGTGGAGACCCTGTGGTGAGGAAAGACTTTCTAGTCTTTGATTCTTGGCTTCATTCAAGGAGCTCAGTTCTAATTGTATACCAAACCTGTATTTAGTCCTTTCTCTGTTGCTAAAACAAAATGTCTGTGCCAGGGCAACATACAAAGCCCACAGTTTTGAAGACTGAAAGTTCAAACTGGGCAGTTAGACCTCTGGTGAGGATCTAACGTGGGTGGAATCACAATGATAGAATGTGTGTGACAGAGATCACATGGCAAGAGGGACATCATATTTAGGGGTTAGGTCACTCACTGTGTAAGACCAGTATCAATCCCTCCTATGGATATACCCTAATGACCAAACCATGAGACCCTACTACCTTTCAACACCACTACACTGAAATCTAAGCCTCTGGCATAAGGATAGGTGTGGAACAACCCACATCCAAACCACAGTATTGTAGTTTGAATCTGTAGTGTCCTCACAGCTCATGCTTGAAACACTTGATCCCCAACTGGTGACACTATTTTTGGAGGTTCTAGAAATTTGGGAGGAGACAGGTCATTCAGGGTGAGTCCTTGAAGGTTTATCCATGTTCACTTCCTGTCTTTGCTTCCTGGTCTACTTTACTGTGATGTGGACAATGTTTGCCATGCACTCCCACAACAATTAATTGAGCTGCTTGGACATACCTTCCTACCATAGTGGACTGAAACTCTCTGAACCAGTGGGCCAGAATAAGCATTTCTTCCTTCAGGCTGTTTCTGTCAGGTACTGGGTCAGTGACTCAGGAGCAACAACTACATCCAAGAGCTCAGTTCTAGTCTGTGGGCAGGTCCCTAGGCTGCTGTCAGGTTTGGAAGCCTCATGCTGTCTCCGTGATGCTCTGTCAGAATCCCCTCATTCCCATGCAGCTCAGCACTGCATTTTTGTGGTGGTTTATTTTATTCAGCAACCATGTGCATATAGAAAGACCCCTGTCTGTCTGTCTGTCTACCGCTTTGACCAGAAGATCCCCCATGCCTTTATCTTCATGGCACAGCCCACCACTTGTAGCTTGAGGATTCTGCCTTGGATAAGTTGGTTTGCTGTCCCTCATAGCTCCTGGGCTTCTCAGTCTGCTCCTTAGAGAGCACGCAGCCACCAAGCTTGCTGCTGGGCACCCTGAGTACAGGCAGTAAAGACCTTCTTGTTAAAGAAAAGTGTGTCACTTTCTGTACTTTGCCACCAACAGCTGGTTGTGCTGGCTGATGCTACCAGTCACCTCTCCCTGCAGCAACCACTGAAACCTGTCCAAGAACCAAACCAAACAGGAAGAGATGGCAGGACAGTGGTAACAAGAGAGATGAAGAGAAAGGACAGGCATCCACACAGTGGCTTTGAAGAAAGCCATTGATTCTTGTGGAGCCTTTCAAGCCTAGTAGGAAAAGGCAGAATACATTTCTCCCAACAATTGTTGCGGCTCCTACATACAGGTTTCTATTAAGGGTTGATACAATAACAGTAGCAGCAGTAGTTAATACTTATGGAAACTTAAGACATGACCATGCAAAGTATCTTAAATACTATCAATATAAATATAAAATATCATACTTACATTGATCACCATTAACATGTGATACTAGGTGACAGGCGTCAATCAAGGTGTCTCTATTAATTCTCCTAACACAATTATTATGATTCAGGGCACTGATGAACTTGAGGGGCAGAGGTTAAACAAGTTGCCAAAGGTTACATGCCTATTCAGTGGTAGGGCTCTATGCTTTATCTCCAAGTCTCTCTCTACATTGCCTCCTCATGAGCCCTTTTGCATGCATCACCTTAGTCTTCAGAACAACCCCAGGTAGAATGATTATGACCTGCTTTTTATAGCTCTGAGAAAGCAGGGAATCAGAGAAGCATGGCTGCTGGGGATGCTGTGAATGTGTTGCTCTGATTGATTGATAAATAAAATGCTGATTGGCCAGTAGCCAGGCAGGAAGTATAGTGTAGGCGGGATAAAGAGAGAGGAGAAATCTGGGAGGTGGAAGGCTGAGTCAGGAGATGCTGCCAGCCGCAGCCATGAGAAGCAGATGTTAAGATACCGGTAAGCCATGAGCCATGTGGAAACTTATAGATTAATAGAAAAGGGTTAATTTAAGATATAAGAACTAGATAACAAGAAGCCTGACACAGCCATACAGTTTATAAGTAATATAAGCTTCTGAGTGATTATTTTATAGGTGGGCTGTGGGACTGCAGGGGGCTTGGTGGGACCCGGAGAGAAACTCTTCAGCTACAAATGGCACCCAACATGGGGCAAGTGTTTCCACCTAAAACCAAAAAAAGAAAAAAAGATTCCAAAAGGGAGCTAAAAACAGCTTCCTAATAGTCTCTCTCAAGTTAGTGGCAGCCTGCAGGCTTGAGCTACTCTATGGCAGGTTTATGGCTTGCAGGCTTGACCTGCATGCAACATGGCAGATTCCAAGCCGCGCAGCAGTACTCAGCATGGTGAATATAGCTTTTGCTAGTTAAAAAAAAAAAGGTTTCTGGGCTACATGCTGCTTTGATGGAAGCATAGACCCACTGCTTCCCAGAGTTGGTGGGGGCCTGGTTCCCAGAGCTGGAGTTAAATGTAGTTTCGCCATGTTGGGAAGCTGAGGTGGGCGGAAATGCTACAGTTTAAAGCAATAGATTCACAATAAGACAGATTCAGATGGGATAAACCTCTGAATGGTTTACAATGTATGTAAAATGTACATAGGCTTGAAAGAGAAAAAAAAGTAATATATACAATTATATAAAAAATAGTTTTAAAAAATAAAGTCTTTAAAGAGAAAGTAAAAGTAATATAAAAAATAAGCCACGTAAAGATGGATATCACAAAGAGAATCAGGATTGTGTTGTCTTTGGGATTTTTAACTGTAGAAAGACATTTGATTATAAAGACTGCTCAGTTAAATATGTATATTTTAAAGGTACCTTGACTTTAAAATTTGGATTTCTGGGGCTGACCTAGCCAGAGCTAAGCATGGGCATGGTACCTTCCATCACACACAGGCATACTTAACATGTTAAACTCCTTGGGTGTCTCTCAAAAATAAAAAACAATTTGGTTTTTAAATCTGTACAGTTTAAAATTTTTCTCCTTACAGCATATTCATATTCCTTAGACAGTTAGGTTATGCCCCAGACAGTATATTCAATGCCACCCTCTCCAAAGTTGGCAACTCAAAATCTTGTTACATATGGCTTTAAAAGTCATATTAATTAACCTTAAGCAGGATGGGCAAACTTTTTTTTTTTTTGGTAAAGGATCAGATTATAAGTATTTTCAGCTCTGTGGGCCATGCCACTGCTGCCACAGTAACCATAGGCAATGCACTTGTGAACATATGAGAATGGCTATCTTCCAATAAATTTTTATTTGCAAAAACGGATGATGAGCCAGATCTGGGCATTGGGCTGAAATTTGTTCATCCTTCACCTAGAGAAAATAGAGAGCTTTTCTAAAAGCTCCTTCAGTGCCTCCCTCCAAATGTCCCATTCTAACACATAAGACCTTCCCACCATTTATAGGTAAGTCCTTTTATAGATATTAATCTCAAGGTACTATGTGATAGACGGAAGCAGGTCAGTGTGATGCCATGGGTAGCTATTGGGGTTGGGGAATGGTAAAATGGGGATTATTCCACAATATGAACAATGAACAATATAAACAGTTAATAAGGGGTAGAGAGTGTGGTGTGTGTGTGTGTGTGTATGTGTGTATGTTGAAAAATACTGATTTGCGGTGAGATCCCGTCAGGAAACCATGTTAACATTGTGGCGGTCAGGGCCTACAGTCAGGCATGGATGAGATGGTACATCATGAAGGATACTCACGACCAGTAGAGCAGCATGAGCAGGAAGGGACAGATGATAAGGGCCTGAAGCACCTGCCAGTCCCGGCATAGCGCAGCCAGCCCCGGCATGAGGAACTGGCCTGCCATGGCCACGAAGCTTGCCACCATGGTAATCATGAACCGTTTTCCTGGAGGGCACAGCTCTATCCCTAGAAAACAAATAATATGGGAGATGTGAGTGCCACTTGCTTGCCTGATGGCTGGGGAGCCCCATGCTAGGATGTCATTGGATACATGGGGGAACTGAGGCCTGATGGGGAAGAGAGTGAGGTCATTGCTCCAGGTCACAAAATAAGCTGGTGGGAAGGACATGACATTTATAAGGGCTCAGCTCAGGAACCATGATATGTTGCTTGTGGAGACAGTTTGCCTCTCTCATTATCTCCTTTCCTTTGCCCTTTGGCATTGCAGTGCTTGCTGTGCAGCGGGTCCTCTTGCTGCCCATGCCATCCCCTTTCCTTCCCACCTAGGATATGCACCGGGGACCCTCTCAGCCTCTGCACGGGTCACCAGCAAGGTCTCCAATTTCTCCCCACCTTCATGGCCATGCTTGCTTCTCACCTCACACCAGCACTCAGTGAAGACATCTCTTCTGTGAAACCAGGACAGACTGACCACACTGCACAAAGTAAAAGCAAAGGCACCTGGGGTACACTATGACCTAGCAGGAATGTCCCTGTGCCATTTTGAATCCTGCTGTCCATTGGTGCGGGGATGTGGCGTGCTCTTCCCCAACAGTGGCCATTTCTAATTCATCAACAGAGCTGTACAATGGAAAAAAAGTATCTGTCTTTAACCAAGACCCACTAAATGGAATAGACCATGATCTCTCCTGTCCACAAGAGCCCATTCTCTGCATTTGATCCTTTGCAAAACAAACAAACAAACAAAAACCAAAAAACTGTCTGAGCACTCATTGGACAATCCATACGGACCTAATACATGAATCCCTATAATAATGGCCCTTGATATTAGAAAAAGTAGCTGGGTTCTACACATACACACACACACACACACACACACACACACACACACACACACACACACACACACCCCTATAGACCATGCAGATTTATTTGCTGTTGTTTTTCTACATTGTGCAATAGTCACTAAATTTTTCTTTCTTGCTTTTCTTTTGGGGGGTGGCAGTTAAAATGATTAAAAGAGAAAAAGAAGAAAGATCCCTTGGGAGAAAACACTCTTCCTGCCTTCAGGTCCAGAGCCTGTTCAATAGCTTGACCTTGTGGCTTGGTTACAGTAGCTTATCTGCTGGCTGTCCAGAGACCACGGCAGGACAGGAGGTCAAAGGCAGTATACAGGGGACAGATGAAAAGGAAAGTGGATAAATCACACTTGGCTACAAAGATATCATCAGTCCTAACGAGCATAGGGCACTGTGCCGGCCAGCGTCTACACCAGCTCACTGCAGAAGAAATATAATCCTGTCAGCAATTTCTGCTCCTCCCTGGCCACAAATAGTCATTATCACAGCTCCTGGTGAACAGGAGAAACCTGCTCTTACTGGATAGAGCTTATAAGGAACGTTTTTGTCATTGAACTAGGGAAAGAGGATGGCCGGGCCTTCCTGGGCCATTTGCTGTGATATCGCCCCTCTCTGTGTCACAGCCCAAGCTCACTTAACTGGTACTTCTTAGCATGACAGGGTGTGAAATTTCTGCTCCGGAACAATAAAGTCTTTTCTGAATGGACTAATAGTTGTGGTTTTTAATTTTCACTCATTAAGCATAAGGAGACGTTTTATGGAAACCAGGAATCTGTATCAGCCAGAGTAGGCTCAATATTGGAGGCCTGACAGACACCCGTAAAAAAATTTAGCACACCTATAACCTTTTACAGAAGGCAGAGGGATGATGCTGGGGGAGCCTGATGGATTCGTGCTAATGAGTTCACTAGTACAACAGACTGTGCATTGCTTGTTGCTTTTCTCTTCACTACCTCTCTTTAATTTAGTGACACAATTATGTGAAAACACCTACAACTGCAGTAGTGCTCCATTGTCTGTGATTTTGTTTCCCATACTTCGGTTTTCTATAGTCAAACACAATCTGAAAATATTAAATGGAAATTCTATAAATAAACAATCCATACATTTTTTAAATATGTGCTTATAATTATTGTGCATGCGTGTGCATGTACATGATGGAGTGCACGTGCCACATTATACATGTAGAGGTCCGAGGACAACTTTGTGGAGTAAGTCCTCTCCTTCCACCTTTACATGGGTTTCTGGGATCAAATGTTGCCAGGCAAACATAGCAAGAAGTCTTACCTACTGAGCGGTCTCGCTGCTCTACAACCAGTTCATTTTAAATTGTACATAATTCTGAGGAGCAGGATGGAATCACTGGGGTGAATCAGCTCTCTGTCTAACATATCCATGCCGTGTAAGTCACCTGCTAGCTAGTCACTCAGGGATGTCTCAGTTTACAGATCATTGACTATCATGCCATTGCATTTCACAGGGGTGTGTGTGTGTGTGTGTGTGTGTGTGTGTGTGTGTGTGTGATTTCTCTCCATGACATATGCATGGTATATAAGTTACCTGCTTGTTAGTCATTAAGTGATGTCTCAGTTTTCAGACTGACCACAATGCCATAACAATCCATGGGTGTGAATCACCCCTCTGTCGGACATACCAAAACTGTATGTATCCTAACTGTTTAACATTGAGCAGTTTCAGTTTTCAGAGTAACTGACATGCCATCCCACTCCATGAGAGTGAACTGTTCCTCTTTCCTACATGCCCACTCTGCAGAAGACCTTGCTCCTGGCCATTCAGTGACATTTCACTTGCCTGAAGGAGCCTGTGGTGCCACAGAGCTTGTGCTTGGGTGACCCTTATTTTAAACATCATAATGGCCACGAACTTAAGGAATAGTGATGCCAGAAATTCAGATACACAAAAGAGAAGCAATAAGTGCTCCTTTTAAAAGGACAGGTGAAAACCACAGAAAAGAAAAGATGTGTGGAGTTTCCTGAGATCGACAGGAAGAAAGCAGCACAGGGTTCACAGGGCTTGGTTCTTGCCCAGCTTCCAGGCTTCCACTGTGGTCTTGGGGTACACCGGCACCCATAAGGAAGGGGTTGGGACTGACATTCCATTCTTTCAGCCAGCACCGCTCTCTCGGTGATGTCTAGTCTCACACACTAATCTATAGTTCTGCGTAGCTGGAAGAACAGTGAAACTTCCCAGATCAGGATCAACATTTGAAGATGAGCGAGGAAAATGGTGTCTTGATGGGCAGGTGACTCTGTAATCTCCCCTGGCTGCCAATGAGTTGTGATAGCTACTGTATTTATTAGTGTGACTATCAGTATGATGACTGTTAAACACTCCTAACTTTTCTTCTGGAGGTCCTCTTTGTAAGTGGCTGAATGTTCTACTTCTTGTGCCCCGAGTGGGATCCACAGACCTTCAGTGTCTGCACCATATGTGAATGGGCCAGGCCTGGGGAGCCTACTTTTGAACAAGTTCCTTAGCCTAGCTCTCTAATTGCCTCTCACAGAATGTAGAGGATGGAGCTGTTTACTTTCTTCTGACCTCTCCACCTGCTTGTGGTTGGAATCCTAGCACAGACTTGATCTGACTTCAACAGGCAGGGGCACAGTGCGTCAGTACCTGCCAGTCTTGCTTTTCTGCTGGGGAGTTGCAGTGATGTCAGTGAGGCACGGGTGTGATCGTTTGCTGATAGCTACCCTTTTGTGCCTTAACTCACCAGGAATTCTTTCCAGACTGCCTGAATCTAACTATGGTATGATGGTAGCTATAAAAATGTGATGAAAACAAAGAGCAATTATCAAGGAGCCACATGCCTTTTAGGCTTGCTGTTCCTTTTGGAAGGTGAGAAACCAGGCTAGTTGAAAGGGCACAAAAAGCATCTATCAGCACCTGCGAGCACTAGCCCTGTGCATCATTACTACAAATGATGGTCTGGCTATCACTCAGCTACTCTGGTCTCATCATCCACAGGGAGACGTATTTGGTCTAATTTACTGTTCATCTGATCCAGTGATTTTTTTTTCAGAGTAGGCCTGAAGTTTGTTCTATAAGATAGGATAAAGGTAAGAGGAATAATGCTCCTTCATGCTCCTCTTTATATTTTATTTCATGGGAGGTCAGAACTGAGGTGTTGGGATGTAGTTCAATGGTTTAGCACTTGCTAGTGTAGAGCCCTGGATTCCCAGCATTGTAAGAAGCAAAGCAAAACAAAACACCAAAAGAGCAAGAAATAGAAACAGGTAAATCCCAGAAGACCACATCAAAAATCTCATTATTAAAGTGACTTTTCCTCTCCGGCTGTAAGGGAGAAGGGTTACAAGCAACCCTTAGAAATTGGATATGATGTTAATCCTCACTGTCAACCTGACTGATTTGAACATCAAGGAGACACATCACTGGACATGTTTATAAGAGCATTTCCAGAGAATTTTAACAGAGAAGACACACCCTGAATACAGATGACACTCAAAGCTCATAGTTAAAAAATATGTTTCACGTTGATGTAAGACACCTCTCCAGTAGAGATCAGTGCTCTCAGTGACAGTGGGAACCACTGTCATGAAGCACAATCACCCATAACCTCTGAGTCACTGGCTCAGGACCTTTCTGTGTTAAACCATGAACACTGCGGTATCTTGGAGAGCCTCAGCAGAATCCCAGAGCTCCTGCCGGTGTGGGCGTACAAACCACACACCTGCCTTCCGACCTTGTCCGGGATCTGAGTTAGCAAAGGTTTGACATTCTCCTCCCACATCCTCTGAAGCCCCACAAGCAGACATTCTCATTTTACTTTCCCCTGGAGTCAGCAAACCTAAGCATTTAGTTGAAAACCAGCAAGCAAACAAACAAACAAAAAACACAACCCGTAACATTGGATACCGATCAGAGAAAAGCAAGTCCCACCTATAATGCGCACATGAGTAGAATACAGCCTTTATTGTTTACTA